ATGCCACAAAAATAGATAGATATGGATATATCTATCGATATCTATATATATAGATATATATATGATCTATATATATTTATCTATATATAGATCATATATATTTATCTATATATAGATCATATATATATATATATACACATACACTCATTATCTCTATATATATATCTATATCAGCATGGAGGTGGGCCGTATTCCACACTACCGCATGCACATACGCCTGGCGTCGCTGTTCTGTGCTGGGGGGGTGCGCTCCCAACTGGTCACACAGTGATGATCAGGAGCTGGTTTAGAAGGTCTTCTCATCATACCGACCCTCCCCCGTCCGACGAACCATTCCAAAAAAGTTGTTTAACAACAAACGGAATATTTTCAAAAAGAAGCAACTGTCTAAAATGATCAGAATATTGGGAGTAAAACACGTCGGGAGCCGCCGCTGGCCCAACGGGATGAAACGCCCCAGCGCCGATATGGACAGGGCTCAGAAACTGGAGCCGCGGGTCGGGTGGTGGGGTGCAGTACAGACACAACGCTCTTCAGGAGAAGAAAAGAAAGCTTTGTTACAAAATGGAGACGCGGGTTGTGATGCCGGAATCTTTGTTTCCAGGAGAAGAGAAGTATAAGGTTTGGCCTGCAAGCCAGATCAGTAATGGGCGTCCTCCACGTTGGCTCCACAACCCCCCGAGCAGTAACGTCAAAGGTTGCCCCGATACAGTTTAGAGTTCGATCGGCGGTTCTGTTAATAAAAGCCGCTGCAGATGCGTTGCCGTTTCTCGCAGGAGGCGGGGCAGAGGTTGACTAGTACCTACGGGTTTAACATTCCGGTTCCCAATTCATCATACGTACATTTGCGCATGCCAACGTGTCTATTACCAACGAAGGAGGAGCGCGTGCGGAAGAAAATGTGCAGCACCGAGATGCGGGGTGATGGAGACGAATGCCGAGTAACATAGAAGGGATAGCGGGCTAGTAACGGGAGGAGGAAAGGAAGCGCAGCGTAGCGGACTGCAGGACAGGACGCCGTAAAACGCTTAGCGCGAGCATACGTATGGCTCACAAGACGCTCTGTACTCTGCCTGTACCCGGATAGCTGGCGTCACTGCATCAACGGACAACAGCCACAGGCCCCAATTCGCAGAAATGACCGCAGCGGCCTGAATTTCATCACATGGCGACAGCAGAAGCAGAGGCGGTGCGCGATGCGCAGCGCTGGCCAGGCCCGTGGACACGCTGTGCAGGTGAGGCAACGTCCATTCCGTAGCTAGATCGTGACAGAATTAAAAGAGGTTTCCGGGAGACGGTTCTACCCCTCCCCCCACCCCAACGATGCGATTTACACCTCTGAATTCATTAACTTCCACAGGAGAAACAAGGGCCGCGTCAGGCCCGCGCCATTTTCAGAATGGAAGGAGGGACCACAGATACAGAACTGAATGAGCGCCTAGGACGGGACCTCCCTCAAACCACCGGCCTCTTCCCTGGAGAACCATCAACAGGCCCCTCAACTCATTTAAAATCTCTGGCTGTTGGAGGATTACAAGCCCTACCCTGCCCGGGGACTTGGGGGTCTGCAAACAGTCGAAACTATTCCAAATGGTACCGCAAGCAAGGTCACAATATCTACCCCTCCCCCCAATGTGTCACCATCTATAACAGAAGCGCAATCTGCGCAGGGGGAAAATCTAGCATTTAATGACGCCGTGCGACATTTAAAATGGTCCAACAGCCCTCTAATCCCGCCCCCAGACTGCTACATGTTCACTGCGTTGGCCAATCGGGAATCAGGCTGCGGGGTTACTGCACAGTAGAGGGGTGCACAAATCTTAGCAATAAGGCACTCCAAACAATTCCGGTAAGATGGCGCCAATCCCGCCTGCCTGAAACCCTTGCCAGCGACTGCCCGGGGGGAGGGGTTCGAAAGGTGTAACTGCGGCAGCGACTTCTCATCACAAAGATCGGGCGCTGGGGGGAAAATGACGATGGCCAGCACCTCCCTGGGGAAGAGGGGAACCGGCATTGATGCCCCTTCCGCCCTCACCCAGAAAACTCCTTCGCGAGCGAGTTTAGAAAAAGAAGAAGAAGAACCTGTATTTATAGATATTTTACAAGGTTAAATAACAATAATTATAATTATAATAATAAAAAAAAAACTGAACCACTAAAAATGGACAGGATGGCGTGTCTTTACAGTTATGTATATATATATATATATATTTTCCTTGACAGATGTGGCCAGTGTCTAGCGGGAGAGTCCAGGAAAAGGGGTGTGGTGTGTGCGCTCCACCCCCTCTCTCATTCCCCCCACCCTCTTGCTACTTTGCCCGTTTTCCTTCTCGCCCGTGCGCAGAACATGCTTTGCTATTGGCTCAGGAGGAGTTGGAGGCCGATGCTGACGCTGCGTTGTTGGTCGGCCCGCGATCCCCAGCGTTCGAATCTGGAAGAGAATGAAGACGGGTGAGGAGGACGTTACGGACACGGCACAACACAACAGTATGGTTACCAACAAGTCTACAGTGTATACCACCACCAGGGGACACCCAGTCACAGGCCTTAGATGTCTCCTTTCAGCTCAACTCTTCTACCCCAAGCAGAGCCCTCAAACCACTCACCACCTTTCTTCCTCCTCCCTGGTAAGTACTTTCCATTCACATCTGCAGGTCTTCTTTCATGGTGCTCCGATTCTCCGGAAGCCCCATTCCAGGCTAGTGTCACTCCCACACCCCTCTAGGTTCTCACTTACTCCAATACGCCA